TGACCTGTGTGTCCTATGGTTTTAGGAGCAAGTTTTGAAATTTGGAGTTGTGGTTTTTCAGTTTGTGTACATTCACCCCAAATTGTAGTCTTTGGAGTCATGTGCATTGCACATTGGATGAGCCAGGGAAATAATTAACAAAAAGTATTTTGTGTGAATTTAGTGGTTGCTTTGTACTGAGAGAAAAGCTTTTGAGGTATGATTAAATCGTAAACTCTGATTCTATTTGGGAGAAACAGGAAAAGGTGCACTTAATCTTTAGCTAAAACAGCATAATTTTTCAGCTTTTACCCTTAAATTATAATTTCAAGATGTTTAGACATACTGTATCTTGTGTTTGTGTTCTCCCCCTTTCCCCAATATTATGGTTTATTCTTCAATGCCTTTTAATTTGGATATAATAGCTTGTACTTTAGATTTTGGTTGCTATCTTGCCAAAATAAGTGTTATTGTGTTTCAAGCTTGATCCCCCCCAATTGTCTTATTTAAAGAGAAAGTTAAAATCAAAAAAAAATGCACAGAAATAGTAAAGCAGTATATAATTTTCTTCTCAATCTTCAGCTAATTAGAATCTCAAATGAAAACACTCTGTAGTTGATTATCTATGGGCCTAATATCAAATGCTGCAAATATCAGAAACTGTTATTACTGAACTAGAGTCACCTTAAGATGTGAACACTAATGAATTCCAAGACATTGTTTGTTGTAATGCTGTTCTCTACCCAGCAATGAAAACTGAGGTATCTGGGTTTTGTCATACTGATCCAGAACTCCCATGCTTATCCCCAAATGAAAGACAAAGTCATATTTCATACATGCATGCACATACTAATGAGATGTGATAGGAATTAGCTATTAAATGCAGTTAATAGAATTTAGATTCAGAGAATTGTACTCAGTATCTTGCTTCTGGGACAAAGTTGGAAAATATCCTGAACTCTTGAGGCACAAACCCAAATGTCTTTAGAATTGTTCCTTTAACATGGAAAAAGTGCTTAGTAGGCCAATCACTTCCTGTCTGTCACCTTCCCTGAGAAAGGTGGTAGATATCTACACAACCAGATTGTGCTACAGACAATGGTGTAAAGAAATCTTTGCCTAGAGATTACTACTTTCAAAGAAGGCAAACATCTCTGGCCTCTTTCTGCAAACTTTTGGATCTATGTAATAATTGAGTTTATCCTCAAGCTCATTTCATGGCAGAAAAGAGAAGTAACTTACTGTGGTGATGTTCTAGGATACTAAAATGCTTTGACTACATGGTAAGATTCAGATGCCTAGTTATGGGTGTGGGGGTATCATAAGTGTGTCGGCTGCCTGCCAGAGTACAGTACTATTATAATGGAAGCAACTTTGAATTTACAAACACACAGTCATGTAGGCTACCCAGCTCTCAAGTATCCATGACTCAAAGATAACAATCAGTAGGCATAGCCTGATAGTCAAAGTTAATCAACACTAGATTGTAGGACAAGCTTTATTGCATCAAATCCCCATGAACAAATGCTAAGTTTTATTCATGTCTGCCACATCCATCTCATATATGTAAGTGTTTTGACATCCTTGGACTTGGGGAAACTTTTAGGTTGTTGGGCACACGGAGTAGGATGAATAAATTATATCCCAGAGGAAAGTAACATGATTTTTCTGACAAACTACACATTATAAAACTTAAAGAATTCCAAAAATAAAATTCTATGCCATGCATGGCTGTTAAACTTAGGATGAAACAGAGCATGATCTTCACATATAAACATCTTAAAGCTTCAGAAAGAAAATAAGGTATATGGCTCAGTGTAAAGCACATGCCCCGTACATTTAGGTCCTTGCCTCTGATTCCCAGCATCACCATAAATATCTTCACCCTGAGACAAAATGTCCTCATCCATTGCTACTTCATACTAATAGATCTTTTTGCTTGCTCCTTGGCAGGTGGAATTGTGTCAAGTACTTCCATTCCAAAACTACTTCAACAGAACAATGAACTCTCGACTGGTGTAAAATACAACAGTTGTAATTATTTTGTAATTTGTAAATTTAGTGTTAATTAGCATTTTAATGTGTATAATTACACCTTGTGTTTTACAAATTTAGTGTGCTGGATTATGCTTTATTCAAATGCACCCTTTAAGATGTGATCAATGCCTTGTTTCAATAGGAGTTCCACAATATTTTGTGAATTTATTTGATGACTACATGAGGATACTTCTAGAATAACAGAAAAAAGAATTATTTCACCTGTTAAGTAAATACATTTTATATATTAGATATCTACCAATGTATGTAGAATTGACCGTCTATTAACAGACTTAGACATCTTGAAAAGCACAGAGTTCAGATTTATAAATTATCTCCAATACTAAACAGAGGAAAGAAACAAAAACTTTTTGGCCCACTGTTGTACTTTATATAGTAGAATTCCTGTTTTAATTTGTTTATGGTGAATAACTGCGTGGGGACCATTTACCAGAAGTAAAGAAAGATTTATGTGAAGAATGCCATTTTATTCCTAGTCTAATGTAATATAATTCACTGTCAAATAAGGAATTTCTATTTATAACATTACTACAAAAGTAATAATGTCATAAAATAATGTTGATGGTAAAAAAAAAAAAAGATTTCACAGTGCTTTCAATCACTGATGCTAATAGGCATTGAACTGCATTCCACATAAGTAGGTTTACAATGGCCATTCAAGCAATGTTTCTTTCTCTGCACTCCACAAAAACATTATTTGCACATTAAAGAGTGTTCACAGGGTTTCGTGACTGAAAACTTTGAGACTAGCACTGTCTTGTGTAACTAAGGCCTCTCTACCACTCACCTATCATTATTCATCACATGCATGCATACTTGCCCAACAGGCTATTAAGTATTTCTCAGTGAAAAGTTTCCTTTCACAGAGAGCTAGCATTATGGTTGTAAGCCCCTTCTGTAATGATATCAATGAATGAATAGTTCATAATTCGGCATACTGAACAGAAAACCATATAGTTAGCCTCAGGAACAAACTTTTACCGTAAACTAGAGAATAGTAGTCTTTTCCCTCTCAGCCCGCTGTGCATTCTCACGTTTCTCAGCAATGCAATGCTCCAACCCTGCCTACAATTGTTACAAGACTTCTAATCCTCTCCAAAACTGATGTAAAACACTTTGGTCTCATAAACTTTTGTTTCCTGTCACAGCATTATCATGGCATTTTGGAGTCATGTTACTGTTCCCTTCTAATGAAAGTGCCCAGAGAGTTTAGCTCAAGAGGCCCAAACCAACACAGAATAGCAAATGTTTTCAATCCTTTGTTACGTAGATGAGGTAAATATTTTTTCTCTATGTCAGAAGTTCTTTTGCATTTCAAAAGACATTTACGTGCCAGATGTACCATTTCCCAAGAGAAAAAAAATCCTATTAAGAATTGTAACAAAATTGTGAAATGTCCTGGAACTAGCTGTGTTGACTGGGCTTGCCTCAAACTCTCAGAGATCTTCCTTCCTCTGCCTCCAGAGTGCTAAGATTAAAAGGTGTGTACCACCACTGCTCAGCTTTCAAAAATATTTTCTAAAGTACTCTTTAACAAATGATTGATTCTGCTTGATTCTGTGTTGACATAGGACCCAGGGTAACAATGTCAGGCTTCTTGCTCCAAATAGGTCACCAAAGAAATGGGACTCAAAATGAGTGAGACCTCAGAGAAACTTTGATTGCTTGCTTTAAAATGAGCTCAGTACATTTATAAGATGAAAGCTGTCTTGAGTGTTTAGAAAGTCCAATACATGATCTCTACACTGTTTTTCATTTAAACTATTTGTTTTATAAATTCTTACTTACATAATTTCTACCCCATCACTTCTCCAATTTATCCTGTGCCCCCACTATGCCCTCTTCTTTATTACTGTCTCACACACACACACACACACACACACACACACACACACACACACCCGTGTACATGTACAACCTACTAATTCCATTTAATGCTGCTCCTCTCTGTGTGTATCTGTCTCTCTCTGTGTCACGCGCTTACTGGATGTGTCTCTCATTGTGTGTGTGTGTGTGTGTGTGTGTGTGTGTGTGTGTGTGTGTGGACATTGAGATTGGATAACCTATCAGGAAGTTTCTCCTTGAAGAAAAATAAATTCTTCTCTCACCAACCATGCATAATTGCCAACTCTTCATTTAGGGGTGGAGCTTTTATAGTTTCACATATCAGTGTTTACATTTAGGATATCTGAAGATTGTTCCCCGAGAGCTAGCTCTCATAGAAAGTGAGAGGGTGCTATGAGACTTGACAAGGGAGTAAACTAATTTGCAGACATCCCAAATTTATATCAAAAGCAAGAAGTAGACTCAACACTTGTATAGGCAAAGCAGGGAAAATGAGTGGTTTGTTACCAATAGAACGCACTTGGATGTA